GAATAGTCCCCAAACGTCATCTTTCCTTTTGTAGGAGACTGGACTGTCCCGGAGTTGTTTGTGTAGTTTGTTCCTTTGTTGTGTGTTGACAGCCCCCTGCCCCCCATAGAATTTATTTTGTGATTTCCTCTCTTGATTTCCTGTTTGGCGCACTATATGTTTGCTTTTCTGAGTGTCATTGAAGTCATCGTTGATTTACGTTTTCGGGGGCGGTCACTCTCGAGCAGAAGGCACGGAGACCGAGAAGGACAAGGACGTGTCTGTACAGTAGTTGCTTGAGTTGTGTATGTTTTAAAAAGAACCAACACGACAGCTTTTTGTTTTCTATCGTTTTGCTCCGCTGCAGAAACTGCCATGTGAGCACAAGTGGAGCTGCACCGACGCTGCGCCGGTGCTAACACGCTCAGCGGATTTGTATGTGTGACCGCTCCACAAAATTTGCTCCGGTGTAAAATATATCGCAACAAAATACATCGGTGCAGCGTCGGAGCAAATACTTTCTTGCTACTTTGACTTACCATCAAGCAAATGCCTGAGCAGACAAGTGCCTGGTGTGTCAACACAAATAGTAGGGATAAAATTACCATATATTCTGATCATAACACTGTGGGAAAACAGTATGCTATCTTTGGGGTTTTTGGCATATTGTTCTGGTGGGCCTTCGCAGTTTACTGGCTCTATATGATTTTCCATTCTGAATGTCAGTCAAAAAGGGCCGTCTCTCAAATGGATTCATGCTGAGACCTCTTGGCAGTGTGAACAAAGTTCGCTCTACAGCTTTTGAGACAACGGCTATTTGAGTCTTTCTTGCATCAGGATAAGATTCTGGCCAAAATTAATTAGACACCAGTCATGAGTCTATGCTGTGTGTAGAGAAATTCACCCATGTAGATCATATATGGTAACAGTATGGTTGCAGTGACTGTCGAGGTGTTAGGACTATATTTATGACTTGAGATGAATACTTATAACCATGGCGACAACGAGTTTATTGCCAACTTCTGATTATTGTTCCCTTAAATTAGCAAATGGTCTGCGGTGATTCTTTCTTTCTTGACCATCATGTCAGAATATGCTCCTGGTTTGACATTTGAGCACTGTCATGGCCATGACGTCAAACAAGAAATACGTATTTGCAACCAGTGAATCTGAGCAGAATTACTGTTTGTCAAATAATTTCCCAAAATCTTGAAAACTAGAGAGCCTTTCCCAACTTTGAGATGCTGTAGGCATTTCTGTTGAATGTAATCTCAACTTCATATCGAGCCGTCGGTAGAATTGTGACCAACCATGGTGTACTCTGAGGCGGCTATAGCAGCGGGATGCACTGTCCCCACTAAATGCCCCCCCCCCCCCCTCATTACTTTTTCTACCTTCAGGGTGATAACTCACATTGTTGCGGATGGCCAGCAATCACGCTGAGGTCTGGCTAGGTACTGATATTAATGACTAATGCATGTTGTAGTAGTAATAATGAGACAAGTTATTATTACAAAGTAAGTTGCAATTGCTTTTTTTTTTTTTTTTTGAGTTTTTCCTTGCCTTCCGAGTGGTTAAGATCAGGGGATGTCGTTAACGTTTGTTAACTTTGGGAATTTGAAGCTTTTTGTGATTAAATGCTAAAAAAATAAATGTGAGTTGCTCACTGCCTTTACCGTGGGGAAGGGCCAACACGTGCCAGAAAGCCAAAATGTGTACTTCGGCTTGTTTTTAGACCCACCCTAAATATGTGGAAAATTGAAACATGAAATAAAATTTAATGCCACATTTCAACAAGTAAGTTCTGAATTGTTTTCAGTCTTTGCACATTTTAGCTTTATTCTTGAACATATTTATTGTATTTAGAAACAAATCACCGAAATCACTTT